TATATATATATATATATATTCACACACAGATCAAAATCTTGTTTCACAAACATCTCTTTAAAATTCCTCTAGAGGCAGTTGACATTTTAAATCTAAAGTGTATATGTTGAGCTGGTAGAGTTCTGCAGGCACCTGCATACGTCTTTCACCACCATGCAAAACATTTATTCAATAGAAATAAATAAATAAATAAAGCATGCAGATTCTCTTTCCGTGCCATTCTTCGTATAATGCCATTTGTATTAGGGCACATGGTAATGCACAAAGGCCTATAAATCATGCCCACTGTATTCTAAGCCTATTTTCAGTGCTTTATTCATTTCTGATTGAATTTTCTGATTTCCCATGGGCCCCACCCTGACCGTTTCAGGTTAACCTATGAGTCACTACATTTTAAACATCTTGGAATGACCCTTGCCATCCAGAGGTTAACACCTGTGCTGCCTGTAACGGAAATGTTTCCGGTAATTGGATGAAAGGTATTTTATGCGCTCCAAAAGAATTGCAAGAAAACCAGTCATCCTCTGCTTTTGAGTCTGAATAAAAAGCTTTTTAGCTTTTAGTAACAACATAGTCTTTGTTACTATGTTGTCATTTTGATTCAGAAAGCTGCTAGCATAGCCCTAATGGGCTTTTGCCTATATAATTTAATAATAATACAAATCTCAATATGATAATTGTCTCCGAACGAAGTCAATGCTTTATTTAATTATGATACAATTTTGAGATTTCCCATGGGCCCCCAGACTGTGGCGCTGTCAAAGGTATTAGTTGAGGAAATGTAGGCAGGTCAGCGACAAACTTTACTGGAATTTTCTGAAACAAACTAGCGTGTGAAGAGACCCGAGGGCTGTGCAATTAGCCTGAATTAGTGTTAAATGGTACAGAAAATGGTGAGTGCTGGCACCAGATGATCCATCACAAACATGGACGGTGTAGAGCTGCATATATCACACTAGAGCAAACTCCAAGCCCGTGGATATCAAGTGCACTCTTGCTAACTTTTCTGCAGCCCAGAAGTGCCACGAGAAAATAATGTTCCACTGCGCTATTTTTTTTTTCCATCCAGCGTTTGTGTCTATTGGTGCAGCCATAACCACAAAGGAAACCTGGCAAACCTTGCCCCCATCGATAAGCCACAGGTGGATCTGACTGTCATCGTGATTGCATTTTCCATCAAATTCATGTGTTGCTTGTGGTGTTTAAGACCGTTTTAGCCTTATTCTTTCAGCTGCAACCCTGGTGGGGTAAACGCTCTGGGGACTAAGTAAAGAACAAGTATTAATAAAAAACAATTCCAACTGGTTACTACACTTTGCAAATCTTCTGTAAAGGTCATCGAGTTGTCTACTAGGCTTTAGTTGTCTGCTTTAGGATTAGGTCGTCAAATGAAGGCCAATGAAATCGCCTGGAATTGTTTGCTGCCAGCAGAGAAAAACGAAGCATTGAATATTTGTGTTTGTCAGGAAAACTGAAAGGCTTTACATGATTTCTAAAAATCAGAGTCTCTATCGCTTCTCATCCACCAAGCTCCAAGGGATCATCTAGGAATGGTGATGCTGGACAATTAGAGATGCAGTTTAAATGACCCGTCTTTCACAGTATTTGGGACTCATTAAGTTACAGCCAAAATTGTAAAGTGTTTCCTGAGATTGCCTCGATGAAGAGTTGACTCACTTCATGGCACAGCCCTCAGTATAACACCGTAATGTAGGAAACAAAACAGAGACAGAAACAGAGGCTGCGCAGTCAAACTGTCACTTAAGGACCCAAAAAATCACTTTAGTATGCAATTAATACCTGATAACCACACATTACAAATAGGTAGTGTAGATTTTAACACATCCCTGTGGCAACTCCACTGTTGGCAGTAGCAAAAAGGTACAGTAATAAGCAAACCTGAGTGACAGACCATGGCATAACATTTCTCCCCTGCGTTGCCTTGTCCTTTAAAAAACAAGACAGAAAAAAAAACAGGTGTCTTTTAATCTCAGGAGGCACGGGCCACGCTTATCAGACTTAACTCTTAATTGTACTCAGCTCATTGCAGTTAAGCGAAATGAAGCTGCACTTGGCTGAACTTTAAAGGACATCTGAGAAAGGCTGGTTGTCAGGGAATGGTTGTAGTCCTGTTTAATGAGATTATGGAGCAAGTTAAGTACTTCTTAGGAACCCAAAGAGCCGACTGATCAGACCAACCTGCAGATGTCTTGCAAATAGTTTTAGCATCAAGCCTTAGGATGCACTCAGTAGCTTGCACTTTTTAGGTTAAAATAAAGCAGGGTACTACATGCTAGAAATACCTTCCCGTTCACAGTTAGTGAATGTCTTGAAATAATTAAAGTGCAGACAGAAAGTGGGACTTAAAGGGGGGTAAAAAGCATACCTCCCTACAAGGACTTTCTTTACAAGAATACCTGCAGTCATCCAGTGGTTAAAGTATATCCCCTCTGGACAATATGCAATGAACCACATACATGCAGACATGTACAGTACAGACTGTTTGTGATTTGCTTTTCCAATGCAGACACACATCCGCTTTAAACAGCTGGAGGTACCGGCAACCCACGATGCATTAAAATTCCCCTTTTAGCTCTGCAGTCTAAATATATCAGCGGTGATAGATTTCCCAGCAACAAAAAAACAGACATACATGAATAGTCTACAATGACATATAAAGTAATGTGAAGAGAA